AGGGAAAGACTGATAAAAAAGGCAGCATGAGAAGAGATTAAATTTACAGTTGTATGATAATGCACACTGGAGGGAGTAATTTCACTCATGAATATTCAAGAGTGGTATTTTCTAGGGCCCTGCTTAGTTGTGTGCACACCTGGAAAAAAAAGTTCTGCTACTTGTGCAGCTGTTATCAAAATGGTAAGTTTTGCATGACAATAGGAAGTTATGGAGGTGTTTTAACTCTTATGCTGGAAAAAGTATACGTAAATTAAGGAGGACCAACATAGGAATAAAGAGACCATTTATGTGTGTAGTAATAAAACTGTACACTTAGTTGCTGTTGCAAGATTCTTTCAACAGTCTGGCATTCTTTTGAGCTACTAGACTCTTCTTGTCCCTCCTAGTCACTGAAGAACTGAGGGCTTTGGGCCCACACCAATGGCTCCAGCACATCAGATTTATCTTTGTAACTTCTGCCTTGCTAGAATCCAAGAAAAATAAGATGAAAAAGTGAGATCTTAGCCAAGCACAGGGTTGTGGTGGTTTTAGGTTTTGGTTTTTTTCCTCCCTGATTAACCTCACACTTCAGACTTTTTAAAATCCCCTCTAAGTACAAAGGGAACAACTCAGTGAAAACAATTGCCACCAAAGCAGAATCACAGTAATTGTGTATTTTGAGAAATACTTTCAGCAAGGCCTAATCCCCAATTTCTCCATACTTTATCTACTTCAGTAAAACCTTTTACAAGCCTTTGTTGTTATTCATGCCATCTCTACTTCAGAATTTATAATGTGCATTTATTTGAGTAGCATGAAATAATAAGCAAAGCGACACAAAGCACTGGAACAGATGATCTGTGTTTTTATTTCTTGTGCCTTTCAGCTTCATGCTCACTTACTGTGGTAACTTGTCTCATGAAGCATTAAATACAAGAGCCTATAAATTCACTTGGACATAATATAACCAGAGTTTATTGCAAATGAAAACTTTATTTCCAGCACTGCTGCTATAATTTCATGAATGTTACCTTGTATTTATTTGCATGTATTTCCTTGTTTTAAAAAACACCTACAGAATCTAACTGTACAAGATGTCAGATTATCAACTCCCTGTAAACAGTACACTTATGATTATTTTTATCCTTGTAAATAAAGTTTCAACTCAAAAAGTTGTCACTTACTGGTATATTTACTCAAAAGTGTCACTTGACTACTTCTTACTCTGTAAAAATAGAACACTTTCCAAGAATGGAAAGACTCAAAACAAGGCTTTGTATTTGCAACACACAAAAAAACCCACAAAAAGGCCTTTGAACCGGCAGAGGCTATGGTGAGCAAAACCAAAATGTGGCATGTTATTTGTACAGAGTCAGAAGGGTTTTTTTACCAGAGGATGGTGGAATATGTGCAAATCCAAAAAGGCTGTGCTTGACTTTAAATAGCAGCATTTGGAATTTATACAAGAAACCAATAATAGAAGCTAAGAGGGTGCTGTAGAGACTGAGAGATGCTTAGCAGTGTTAAATATATTACTTGTGCTTTAATCTACTGTTCTCTTTCTAGTCCAATTAAATTCAATAAAGGACACTTACTTTGTTTCCCCAGCCAATGCCAGAACTTGGGGCAAGTTAAGCCTGAATATTGTATGTAACTTAAATTAGAAAAGGCACAGTAAAACAGGATTTGAAAGACCAATTTGTGACTTTTGTCAACTCGGCCATCATAGGCATAAGCTCTACCTGTTGCTCTTTACTATGACTTAGTATTAATTATTTGTTTTACTGCAATGATCTATATATTAAAAAGTACTAGTGGATCATACAGGTACAGCTGACAGTCTGTGGGATGATGGCAAGGAAGCATCATCAGCTGTGCTATGGTAAAAAGGACTGAATCCAAAAAGAGGGCAAATCTCCTTCTGCCTGAGGGCCTCTTGCACTTCCATGCCTCCTGCACACACACCCTAATTTTTTTTCAAAATGATGTTTTAAGAAAAATGTGTATTATCTGCAAGGAATAAATCTTAGTTTGCAGTGTTAGCAAAAAAGCAAGCTGTAATATGAAGCAAACAGGAAACTTGCAGCAAAATCAGATATTTGTGATGAATGAACCACACAAGCATGAACAGAAGCAGCAGCATATTTTAGTTACACAGATAGTGCTTTTCTTCAGACAGTGCTGGGAAGAAAAGCTGGCCATTCTGCTAAAGGTGTGGTGAAACACTGGTCTTCCTGGTACTAGTGGCAAAGGTCACCAGGAGCTGAACCTTGCAGGTGCCACGTCGGCAGCTACAGCTGTGCCAAGACCGTGGGTTTGCTGTCAGCTGCCTGGACCTGGGCCCCCCAGGAAATGAGAGCAGAGTGCATGCTTTGCTGCGGCTTTATTTGGGACCACACCGTGCCCCGGGAAACGGGCGAGGAGTAAGGCACAAGCAGCGTTTTGCATAGGAATAATCTTGTCCTCCTCTCCCAGCCCTTCCTCGAGTCTATGGTACGAGACCTGGAAGTAGCAGGGGGCTGTTCCCGCCGGACTAGTCACTACCTGCCACCGGCGGCAGGGCGGTAAAGCAGTTCCCGCTCCAGCTGCTCGGCCGTCAGAGTCCCGGGGATGGGGCCGCAGCCAGGGTTGAAGACAGAGTAAGCGCTCAGCTCGCCCCGCTGCCGCTCGGCGGGCCCGCGGGTGCCGGCGTACATCCAGTAGAGTAAGGAGAGGACGAAGTAGGGCAGTCCCAGCTCCAGCTCCGCGAATAGCGCCAGAAGCACCGCCCACAGCAACACCTTCAGCAGCAGCGGACGCGCCCACACAGGAGCACG